ATATTACTCGTACATATTTCAAATATGCATAGTATATCACATAGTACATATTTCAAAATTTATCTTGAAACTTACATATTTTAACAAGCAACATGTACTAATATAAAGACACGATCTGAATGCACTGTTAGTAGAAAGATATCAGAAAGTCGTAAAACATTTCGAGTCGTTTCAAGTCCCCTTAAGTGGCAAGAAATTAAAATTTTGATATCACATATGTAATTAAGAATCCTTAAAACCCGTATATATTTTGTCTGGTGCAAGCACACATATTCAATATCTCATAGTTTCTAAGACTATTTTGAGTCCGCCATTTTGAATTGAAGCTCTAATTTTAAAAAGTGCCTCGACAAAGTTATAAAGCAATTCATAACGAGTACATTAAAAAAAAATTATTAAAATCGGTTAAAAATTATACCGTCTAGAATTTGTCCAGCGAGAGAGCCTTTTTGCCCACTGTGTGGCGCGACAGCTTTAATCTGTTCAACTACTCCACTTCAGTGAAGAGTTGTGCCATATTATGCCTTATATGGGGCACGGCTCCGTTACTCTTTGCTTTGCACCGCAATATTTCGTTGAAAACGAAGGTCCATTTAAAACAAATATTCGAAATACATTTTATCATGTCTAACCCTTTTAGAGTTTCGATACTCTATATTACGGGTATCGAACGCGATATGCTTTGTTCCGAAATCAATTTTGCGGTTGAAATCATCATCTTGTAAGATGAAATTTTTTATTATGATGATAAATTCACATACAGAGAAAGAGAAACATGAAAAAAACGATCGCAAGTAGATGAAGTGATATATCTAATATTATGTAACATTGTAAAATTATATTATGCAAATTGTAAAATATAGCTATTTTCATTTATATTTTCTCATAGCTGTTATGTCCTTGTCATTTTTGGTGTCACTAATATTGTAAATTTCCTACCTCAAATTATATATATACATACTGTATATATATACATGCTTATGTATACATGTATATGTATGTATATGTATGCCTATATACACAGAATAAATATCCCAAATACGTCTCATGGATATCTTATAGATATCGCGATATCCATATTTCGGATACTAGTTCTTTACAGGTGTGTATATATATTGGATGTAATATGCACATATTGAATTTTACACTCACTATGCGTCGCATATCGCTTCGCTTGGGAGTATCAAGTGGAAAATGAATGGGAATTTCGAAACAAGTCGGACAAAACGAATATCTCAATTTGAGTCTAAGCTTGAAGTTAAGGTAGTATTGGCGGTTTATGATCTACAATTCGGAATTTAATAAAATTTGGTACACTCTCTAGTAGATATTTATGCAAAAAAGATTAGTATAAATTTTTGTAAAGCTACGGAGAGCCAATAAAAAGATATTGGCATTTACAATTTTGTTGCGTTTAACATTGAATCTTATAGGAAGCCACCGATTATCTCCAATATTTCAG